AAGAGTTTTGGTCCCAATGCAGCATACCTCTTTGGTCATACGTAATTATCCAACTTACAGGTCAAATGTATAATCTAGGAAAATAATGTTATTTTGAGCATCATCTTCGATGAATAAGCAAGCACTTCTCTTGCGTTTAAGCCTTAAGCAACTAGAAGGTACTTCGATAAAGACCATGAACAAGGGAAAAACTAAATGCGGCTACAGTATACTACCCAAAAGGAACCAATACATTGTGTTGAAAGTGGACAAGGAAGAAGGAGCAAATAGATTGGGTACTAAATAGAACTCTTTTTCCACAACTGGGGGACTAAAGTAGAAATTACAAACTAATAGTAGGATACTGAATTGCAATAAGAGGAAAATAACAGCAAAAAAAACAAGAAGTTAAGACAAAATGCAATCTTCGTTCTCATATCATAATGATTTCCCATCACAGGATTAATATGAATAAAAGAGGAAACTGCTTAGAGTAATATCTAGAAATTTCACAAAACTTACTTTCCTTGAAGACCCAATGAGAAGCCAGCTAGTACCACATAGGTACCAAACGCCATAAATGGAATGTACAGGTCCGGTGCATTTATGTCATAGATTGGGGGTTTATAAGAAAGCCTGCCTCCTACTGGTTCAGTTATTCTGGTCCAATGGCCCTGAAAAAACAAAAGAGCGGGCAGGGGTAAGGAGTAAATTCTATGGCAGGATAATCTGATTCCACAAGGAAAAATTCCAAATGTTAGCGCTTACCCTGTGAAGAAATGGAAATAGAACAACCTTCAACTTGTTCCGGACATACTGGTCATTCACTTGGAAGTAGTATTGAGGATCAGAGAAATACCTACTGATCTGCTCATTTCAACACAAAATATCCGAATAAAGCTCAACTACCTCAAACAGACTTAAGAAACTCTAACAGCTAAGAAGTAAAGAATTTAGAAAAGGCCTAATCTAGTCACTTGATGGCAATCATACAAGGCCATTATCTTGCTTAAAGTACGTGAATACAATTTGCATGAGTGGGAGACCAATGCAAAATGTTATAGAAGCATCTCCATAAACCAGTTCCAACTTACGCATCAGGCCATAATGTACAAAACAATATACCAATCTAATTGACATGGATCATCAAACTTTCACCCAATCAAGAGCATGGAAGAAAAACAAAGAATAAAACAATTTGATTAACCAAAATCAAGCCTTTCCAAAATGGTTCATTCAATAATGCCAATCATCATTCTGCCAAATTAAAAGAGGTCAATTTCATAATGCAAGATAAATTTTTTTTGACAATGATTCATGAAACTTATATGCTAGAATAAAAATCTTCCAAACTTTCATATGATTTACAGTTAAATCAAAAACTTTATAAGTTGACCACAAAGGGGAGTAATAAGCTAATGGTGCATATCGTAATCTTCAATAGCTGAACCCAGATCATAACAGTGGTCAACTACTTACATTGCTTTGTACATACTCAGAACTTGATCCTAAAATTTTCTCTCCATACGCGCCCAATCCACCACGGATAAGTCCTGAACCGGCACCGTAAAACGTATTTCCAAACGGATTTGGCTGCGAAGTTGCAGGCGGTATTGGCACCCCAGGCTGGGCTCCCACATTATTGTACATTTCTGTAGTTCAACACACACAGAAAAAAAAAGTCAGATACAGATTGCTTCAATTACAATGCACCCAGAACAAGACTTCATTGGTGATAATAAATATATATTTTGAAATCAATCCAGAATCCAAGACCAGCTAAATAGAAAGAGAGAGATGAGTAAACCCTAGATCTGGAGGTTGAGATGGAGAGACTAAGGAAGAGACGGAAGTCGCGGGGTGCTGACGGATGAGAGAAGAAGCTGGAGGCTGGAGGCCGCGTCGATTTCTGCTCTAGGTTGGCAGAGCCGGCTTCGACTTCTGCCCTAGGTTGGCAGAGACAGGATCGATTAGAGAGAGAGACAGAGAGAGATGAAGAATGGGACGGAGTTAAAAAAACTCAGGAAAAGCCTATAGCCCTTTTTTTTAATTTTCGGTCTGGGTTAAGGCACCGGTCTGGGTTAAGGCACCGTCTAAACTATAGTGCACCGGTGCACTCATACAACGTTTTTGTTTTGGAACCTGTCAACCGGCTCTCAAGGTTTACTATAATTTTTTTTTTCTCTTTAAGTTTCAAAAATTTAATAATTAATCGTTTTAGTGCCCGTTTGGCATTACTTATTTGGGGTGATAAGTGATTTTTTAAAAATTTTGGGAAGCCCAACGTGTTTGGTAAACTATGAGAAAATCACTTATTGTTAAAAATTGTTGTGGGAGAAAACTATAAGGGAAAGCGGCTAATGGGGTGCTTTCATTTTTTGATTATTCAAGAATTAGTTTCGAAGAGGCGCTAGATTTAGTGATTATGCGGCAATCATTTTTTGATTATGCGAGAATCAGTACCAATAACACTTTTAACAAAAAGTTTACCAAATGCCAAACTGCTTTATCTCACAGCTGATTTCTCTCACAAGAAATCTGACATCGATTATTTTCACAGCACAGCAATACCAAACTGGCCCTTAGTGTCTAAAAAATACTCCATAAGTTTTTGTTTTTATTTAATCAGAAACAAGTTTCCTTAATATAGGAAGACAAGAGCCAATTACACCAGAGTGAACTTAAAAGATAAGCTCCAATAAGTTCAACATAAAAGGCAGAAAGCCCACTAAAGAAGAGGTGTGATATGGGAAGAGAAAAAGGGAGGAACAACAGAAACTAGGGTGGAGAAAATTGGGGGACAAGGGACCTAAACAATGAGGGATGGTCATGTGGGGATCTGGGGATAGAAAATAGAGGCAAAAAGCCCCAAATGAGCAAAACTCAAGATCACACCCACACAAGGGGCAGAAGGGCCACAAAATTGGATCCAGCAGGGAGGAAAACCTCAAACACACCCACACAATAAGGGAAATGGGCCACAAAATGGACCCAACAGAGAGGAGAAACCTCAACCACACAAAGATTTGAAAAAGGTTCTTGGTGTTCATGATATGTTCATAGGAGTTCTTGTCAAACATGCTTTTTGATCTTATCTGATACTTGACATTTATAGGTTGAATGTTAGTCAAAAACATTTTATGACATCCTATAACATTTTCATATAATATATAGTTTTTGTCCCCTAAAGTTTTGTTCACCCGTTTTACTTTTGTTCTTGTGATGGTAGGGTAAAGTTCCCCATTGCCTTGAGAACCATTGACTGGTCAACAAGTCAACTTTCTTTAATGTATGAGCGTGCCACTGCTAGCAATAAAAAATCCTAGCAGACTTCCTAAAAACAGATAACTTGCGCCCCAAGTTACTGACTTCTAAACAAGCGGTTGTGAATTTGGGTGATGAATATCTCCCAAGTAAGTTTTTTTCTTGCCTCAGACTAGTGAGGACTTCATAATTTTTCACAGTACAAAACTAGTAGTTCTGGCCAGAATAAATGATAAGAAAGTGAACTGTTTTCAGACAGAATTCTTTTTTACAAAACTCAAAAGGGAAAAACTGACTCTAAAAAGACAAAAAGAAGACTGGACTTCCATTTCTGTTTGGGCAGATGCTTCTGATTCGGGCTGGATTAGATATGCATGTGCTGGACTGGACTATCAACAACTTCAACCGGTCTGTTTCAGCTGCAAATCGATGCCAACGTTCGAATTTGGCAAAGCTTTAATTTATTTCAAACCCTGGAAGGCTTTTGATTGGGCAGAATTGGGACTTCTTCAGTCTGGAAGAGGCAGAAGTGGCCGAACTTGACTACTGGGCTGGAACTGCACTGTGGTATCTGTCTTGCTTGATCAGGGCTCTTCATAAATTTGTTGAGGTTTTCATATTTGTAAAAACCTGAACTATTCTTGTTTTGGTTTATGCTGAACCAAATTTGTAACGAGAGAAATCTCGTTTTGAATGATTTATTTCTCTAAGTCTGAACTGAAGTTGGGTGTCTTGATTGGTAGTTGTTTGAAGGCTTTTAAGATCAAGTGATCATTTTGAGTTTTTGTCTTTGGTTGATTTCTTGGTTTTTTTTTATTTTTTATTTTATATTGATTCCCCTTGCTCTGTTCACCCTCTCCTATATTTATAAGAAATGTTTTTGGAGTGGGAGTTCTAATTCTTTTAATAATGGGCGGCAAAAATTCTCGAAAAGATCTTTTATTTTTAAATGCAAAGAAAAGGGGGTTTTATCAATTCTGGCAAATAAGCACTCAATAGTCAGTTCCTGAGGCAATCACTTCCCTGTATTTTGATGGGAAACCTAACCCTTCTTCCAGTTTAACTGCTCCTGTAAGAGTTTCAAACTGTGATGGTAAGTTTTATTTTTCAGTTTTGAACAACTCCCTGTTTCCCGCTTATCTCCTTTTTAGAAAACGTAGTCTGCGTATCCCTTGAAAATGGTGCCTTCTTTGGAGCAGAAAAATATCTCCGAATATACAAAAGGGATTTGATCTCCTGGCAGCAGAGTTTTTTCAGAGATGTTCTTCTTTTATACCTGGCCCTATTAATTCCTTATTAATCCAAGTTGAAATTGCTGACTTTTCCAAGTCAGGGGATCACGTGGGTTTGTTGCTTTTTGGGCTTCTCTTCCTTAATTTTAAACATGCCAAGCCCAATTTGGGTTTCTTCGAGGCCAAAGTCATTCTCGCGGTTTGATAGTTTTCTGGGCCTCCAATGTTGGGTCGAGTATATAGTCTTGGTCCGATTATTTGTTGGTGGCTATCCAAAATTGATATGGGCTGAGTGTGTCAAATTAGGCCCAAACAAGTTTTAAAAGAAACCAATGAAAATGAAGATGCTTTTTGGGTACAAAAGATGGTACTACCTTGTGGTCCCAAAATCACACAATCTTTTTCAAAATATCAACACACACAACACAACGCACGCACACACACTTTCTCCTACATGGCCAGCCCCACCCTAGGATCCCTTTTGGGGTCCTCATGCAATTTTTGTAAATTAGGGGCTGTTTATGCAATTTTTGGAAAATTACAGTTTTGCCCAAAACTTTAATTAATTGCGGTTTTTGCCCCATTTCACTAAATGACAAAGTGTTTTCATCCTTTTGTGAAAATTGTTTATTTGTTTGAAATAAATGTGTCATTGAAATTAAGCCCATATTATCCAATAACAAATTTTAGAATTAGATTCTAAGTTAATTATCTAATGAGATTAAATAATCAAAGAGATGATTATGGACTTATGAACACAAATACATGACACAATGTGATTGGCCGATATTCATTAGATGAATGGAATAGGTTTGATTTATTGGTTTGTAAATTAAATAGGGGCTTGCATGGCTCTCATATCTCTTAATCTCAAATGTAATTCCCTTAAAGTCCATTGGGCTTTAAGTTCTCTATCTCAAGTTCTCTATTCTCAAATAGTCATAGGGAAGAAGGAAGATCAAGAGAAGGAATAATCAAGTCAAGATTACTTGTACTATTCATGGGTCCAACACCCAATAACAACCATGAATGTTTTAAGTAGTTAAAACACGTAATAAAATCAACCTCCTTCCAAAGACCTTAGATCCGACATCTTGGCTAGATGTTAGATCGAAGTCAAGTCCATAATCATCCATAAGCATATAGATGACTATTTATCTAAACTTAACGAAATGCAAAGGTTTTCTGTTAGTAGTGGTGCATATTCCCAAATCTCAAATAAAAGAGTTTTATAATTAATTTGATTTGCAAAACAAATCGTGGGAGTATTGTACAACTACTAATATGATTTAGAATAAAAGTTGTCCTAGGCCAAGTAGTTTAATTGGATTAAACATGTTTATGACGAGACCTTAAAACCCTCAATTAACTAAATTAAGTAGAAAAACAATAGACTTTTTGAAACCCTAGTCGTGGCCTTCCACCATGGTGAATTCTGAATAGGCTTGATCCTTGTGAAGGCTTTGCCTCAGATATTGGGGGGCTAACAGCAAGATGTTCTTGCTTAGGAAGAATTCATTTATACATTGGATGTTGCAAGGATAGGCTCAAACATGGACCAACATTCTATTATGATGAGGTTCATGATTGTATCACTATACTTTGCAAGAATGGTGGGCTAATACTTAACTAGTACAATGATGCCTCATGATAATATTCGAGCATATACATTTGCTAGATGCCAAATTATATGGGAACTCACATCATGATATGAATGAGTAGAAGGACTCTCTCTTTATTATTTGTGTTATCCCTAGATCCTATTATGGTGCAGTGATCCAAATAATAGGAAGCCTCCCATCCCGCTAAGAGACATCTTACAAAAGTCTCTCGTATTCCATTCTTGAGGGATTATTGAAATCGTTTAAAATAGGGGGAGGAGCCATAGAATTTAAAGACCCTAAGTCTATAGCTTTAACCAAAACAATCTAATTTTATTTCTATTATGTTTGTAGATACTTCTGTAGAACCCTATTCATAACATATTACACAAAGCAAGCCTCAAATGAACCATATAATGTCAAAAGGGATTATCTTCCATAGGATGCTAAAAGGAAGAAGAGATGTAATGTACATCTTTCATGCACAAGGAACAAAACTTATGAAGAAAGCAATTTTGTTCTTGAGTCAGTAATGGCAATTGAAACTTACTCCTGGATAATGGATTCAGGAGCTAGCAGACATGTTTGCAATACATTGCAAGGTCTAGCAGATCATATGAAGTTGTCAAAAGGGGAAATAGTGCTACATGTCAGTAATGATACCCAAATATCTGCAAAAGCAGTAGGCGCTTTCCACCTTAAGCTACCACATGGGGAGACACTTGAACTTAAAGAATGTCTTTATCTTCCAAGTTGCGTAAAGAACCTAGTATCTGTTTCAACATTGCTAAATGAAGATTACACTGTCACATTCAATAGAATGGGATGCTCTTTACAACAAGGCAATCGAATCATATGTAAAATGTACTATGATCGATGGTTTCTACCAAATAAAAATTGTGAAAAATAGCAACTGCTTGATTGAGATGCCAAGACCTAAGAGGCCCACAGAAGAACTCAATCCGACTCAAGCTTGGCACCTAAAGTTAGGACACATTGGCCAAGATAGGATCCAAAGGATGGTCAAACAGGGATACCTTGAATCTTTGGGTTCAGTACCCATGCCCACCTGCGAATCTTGTCTTCAAGGCAAAATGTCAAACTTGCCTTTTTCAAGAAAAGGGAAAAGAGTCACTGAGCTTCTTGAATTAATCCACACTGATGTATGTGGGCCATTGTCCACTACATCAAAGGGTGGCTTTTCTTACTTCATTACGTTCACCGATGATTACTCTCGGTTAGGCTATGTATACCTAATAAAGTACAAGTCCGAGGCCTTTGAAAAGTTCAAAGAATTCAAGAACAAAGTTGAAAAGCAAATAGGAAAGAGTATCAAGATTCTAAGATCAGATCGAGGAGGAGAATACTTGAGTACTGAGTTTCTGATCAGTGAACTCCACCTGGAGCTCCACAACTTAATGGTGTCTCCAAAAGGAGAAACTGAACATTGATGGACATGGTCCGATCAAGGATGAGTTATACTGACTTGCCAGTATTGTTTTGGGGATATGCACTTCAAACTGAAGCATACCTGCTAAACAAAGTACCTTCCAAATCCGTGCCTAGAACACCATATGAAATGTGGTTTGGGAGGAAGCCAAGTCTTAATCATCTTAAGATATGGGGTTGTCCGGCTTATGTCAAGAAGCATGATATTGACAAGCTAGACGCTAGATCAGAAATTTGTAGATTCATTGGATATCGAAAGGAAACTTTAGGATACTACTTCTACCATCCAAACGAACAAAAGGTGTTTGTTGCAAGATCTGCAAGATTTCTTGAGATTGATTTTGCATTGGATGGCACCTGTGTGCAAAAGGTTGAGCTTAAGGAAGAGTCTGGAGAGCCTCATGAACCTGAAGTAGAGTCTGATCCAGTTGACAATCCGGTCCCTTTACCTACACTAACCCAACCTCTACGTAGGTATGTGTTGGCTGCGCAAATCTCACCGCCTGGAGCTCCGGGCCGAGGGGATATGCGTTTAACACGTGACGTCCTTCTTTTGGATGCGGCGCGGTTGTGCGCGGGCGTGCCAGCACGGTCTACCGTGGGTCGAGATGGTGATGTAGATGAAATGGTTAAGTGGTGCGCCTATTTGGGTTCGACTCCTAATCAAACGATTGTGGCCGAGAGAGGAACTGATCTCGGCCGTCAGGTTCACGGCCTGAGCTACAAGGCCGTTTAGTGGTGGTATTGATGGTGGATTTTGGGCGGTGCTCCGGCGCGTTGCTCAGGGAGCGACGGTCGTATGATATATGAGATGAATGAAAGAGTAACAGAGATGGTGCTCCGGCGCCTTGAAAATCAAGGGTCGTATGATATATTGATGAATGGATTTTCCTTACAACCTAACACTACTTCTAGGAAAGCAAGTAAAGATATTGAAAGTGCATTACAAGAAAATATAATTTGCTCCGTGGGAGGCTTTTGGTTTGGTGTTTGAACCCTTTGAATGTAGCTTGAGTTTGATATTTATAGGAAGAGCTCTTGGAGGAGTAATCGAGGCTGAAAATCTGCATGGTGGCGCCTGATCAGAGCAAGTGGGTAGTCTAATCGATATTTGGGATCATGAAGCATGGTGGTGTGACCCCATGAATCCTGGTAAATCTCGACCGCCGCCCTGATCGTGGGTTCTGCGCTTCTGGCCGTGGGGACGCATTAAATGCCCTGGTCGTGGTGATCTGACCTTATGTTGTAAGAATATTTGTAAGTATGTTTGCGCCTAACCACTCTGATCTCTGTCACCAAATCCTGACTTTAGTCACTTCCCTTCTTCCCTCGTGCATTAAATGCCCTTTTGCGGCTAGTGGGTTTGCTAGTCATAGGCGTTACTTCATTAAATGAAGCGTGGGACCCGGCTGCCACGTGGCGATTTGACTCTTAATATCTTCGGCCGTGTCCCCTTCGTCCTTCGGCCTCGGCCTGATGATACTGTGGTTGGAAGGCCGAGATGACTATGCCTTCGCAACTTTTCCTTTGTTTTGAGGAAGGGAAAAACGCCGCGTTTTAGTTCATGAATAGGTGCTAAAGCCGAGGAAGGTCCTTTTGGCCAATTTATGGCCGTGACTTATTAGGCACAAGCATTGCCCCCACATCCCCGGATTCTTCGGTCTCGTCATGGGCAGAGGCCGAATGGATTCCAGGGGATGGACCCTTTGCATTCCTTCTGAAGTGATTGACAACTGGTGTATTAAATGCGCAGGTCAGTCGGCGCATTTAATGCTCAAGCACGTCGTGCATGCCATCATTGCCCAGACTTACGCGAGGCGTCGCTTCGCCTCGTCAAATGAAACGACGGTCTCTGGGCTTCCGACATGTCATCGCGCTTTTTGAGCACGCTGTCAGATTGTCACGTCTCTCGAGAGAGCCACACCCTTTCGTTTCGAATTCTAGCGCCAATATAAAAACCCAAACTTCTTCGTTTCTTCTTTACGCTTTCAGAATTCTCAGACGCCCAAGCTTTGCCAAAAAATTCTTTCTCAATCCTTCAATCCTACCTCTCCGTCATTCCTGATGGTGAGACGGAGAACGACCTGAAGGAGATCTGGGGCTCCTTCCTAGTTACGCATGACCTTCACTGCAGCCTGTCCAAGGCTGGGGCTGAGGTTTATCTGCCAAATTTCGTGGCGCGGCAATTCGGCCTGATCTAGACGGCCCCGCTTCCCCCGTTGTCAACCAACCGGCTTTCATCCTGGAGGGCCGATGTCGTCCAGCAGCACAGCGTGGCTGGCATTTCCTTTCAACTCCAAAAGGGGATGACCTTCCTCACTCTGACGCCTTGGTTGCATCGTAATGTGTATGACGAGGATGGAAGGGTCTGGTACGAGGAGTGCATCTCGGCCAGATTTATTCGGCCTATTGAAGAGGCCGTGAGGGGGGCCCTGAAGAATGCAGATTGGGACCCCCTCCCTCCCAAGGCTGGCAAGGGGAAGAAGGCCTCAGCCTAGTGCCCCGATTGCGGCCGTATCCAGAACGACGGCCCCTCCTACGACCGGAGTAGCGGTCGTGACTACAACCGTAACCCCTCCTCCTAGGGCGACGGCTATGGTGGGGGCGCGAAAGACCTTGGCGCATAGGACCGTGCCATCGATCGCGCCGTTGCCAGTTCGCCCGAGCACCGCCGTTGGTAAACACTTGCCCTTTCAGCTCCTCACTTTCTCCTTTCTTTTTCGCTTCTGACCCATGTCTTATCCATTCGTCCATTTTCACAGCTCTAAGCCGCAAAAGAAGCCGAGAAGTTGCGGCTACTGGGACTCCTTGTGAGGCGGGGGTAGCAGAGACTTCGGCTGATGCGAGCGAAGGGATACAAGCCGCCGAGGCTAGGACCGAGGCAGCAGTCGTGGAACCGCCGAGAAAGAAGATCCTCCTTATTCTCTCGGAGGGTGAGGATGAGGAGGAGGCTCCTCCTGCAACCGTAAGTAAATCCCTTTATTTTCTTCATGTCTGCCTTCAGTTCCATTATCTCTAACGCTTGACAATTTTTGGTTCTCCTGTTAGGGCACGGTGACAAACGCCGAGGCTGAGGCGGAGGCTGAAGAGGTGCCGATTTCCGAGGCGTCGATTGCCGAAGCGGAAGGAGCCGGAGTGGAGGGAGTCGAGGCGTCGATTGCCGAGGCGGAAGGCGCCGGAGTGGAGGGAGTCGAGGCGTCGATTGCCGAGGCGGAAGGCGCCGGAGTGGAAGGAGCGGAGGCGTCAATTGCCGAGGCGGCCGCCGTAGACCCGCCGTTGGAGACCTTGGTTGAGTCTTCGTTAATGGTGGAGGCCGTGGCTTCATTGGCGGTCACGGCCCTGATTGAGCCACCGTTGGTCACTCCTTGTCGCCCTGGTGGCATTGTTTTTCGTTCGGTAGGTGTCTTGTTCCTCGTCATCCCTAGTCGGTTTATTTTAGATCTCTGTACTAACACTTCCTTGCCCTCAGCCTCCCAGGCCGTCATCACCTTCGTCCACGGCCCTTGTTGCACCGAGCCCGCAGGTTGTCTCGGCCGCCATGTCGATCCCTTTGGCGCCTTTATCGCAAGAATCGACGGTAGTTACTGAGCTTGTGGTTGCAGAAGTCCTTGCCGCGCCGTCGGCCGCTGAAGTAAGTATTTGGACTTTTATCTTGTCATTCCCCATGTCCCAGTTGGTTGTTTCTCATTTAAATCTCTTCTTCCATTTTCAGGAGACCACCTCCTCCGACGATCTCGAGGAATTATACGCCAGCCTCCATGAGGAAGGAGGTAGCTCGACCTCGGCTCCCGTGGACGAGGATTCCAGGGTTGTCGTTGAACGGCACTGAGAGTTCCTTTTCTTTGGGGTTCATCAAATGACCACCACCGAGGCGTTCATGGAGTTCAGGTCCTGCCTGGATACGGCTATGGCGCTCGGTTTGCTAAACTCGGCCCAGCTGGATGAGTTGCAGGCCCGTTTGGCCGAAGGCGAAGAAATGATCGGCCGGTACGCTGAAGCCACTATGAGAATGACCGAGGGATGCTCGCTCGAGCAAGAGCTGGTGGTGATAAAGGAGCAAGTCCAACCTGCGATGGCGCAATTAAAGGAAAATGACCTCGTTGTCCAAAGGGAGAATGAGGAACTTGCGCAGGTTGAGGCTCAGATAGCCGAGCTTCAGGCCCGTCGAGATCTCATCCTTCAGCACCGAGACGGTGCGGTTGCAGTTGGAGCCAAGCTGAGGTCTTCGGCCAAGCAAATCCTCAAAGCAGCAACCGATAAGAAGAAGGCATTGGCCGAGAGGAAGCTGATCTGGGCGAGGTGGCAGGAGGATATAGACGGTGGGGACATTGCTTGGAGAAGGATCACTTGCCTGATCTGGGGAATGTTCAGCGAAGGGGTCTAGGTGGGCGGCCATTTTTAAAGACTTTGGGATGTAATAATTAAACATATTTTCCTTTTTGTTCATAACCACATACAGATATATATATATATATATATATATATATATTGTTTGTGCCTAATAAATCACGGCCACGAGCTAGCCGAAGGAGCCCTTTCTTTCGGCCCTGGCACTTGTTCGCAGAGGCTGGAATGCAGGGTTTC